TATGCGGCCATCATTTTAAGGAAAATGACCTACGCAAACCTCCGGGAGGAACGCGGTACAGGCTACGACTAGGTATGTTTTTGTATGCCCATAAGACTACCCGTAAAATGTGAGCTTTTAGTGAGCTCTTGAGTTTTATGTAAGCTATATAAGTTATAACTTAAGTTGAGCAAATTGCAATGCTTCTTTTCGTATGATTCACTTAGTTTTGAAGATTTTGAATATTTCTTTATTAACATAAGACTATCGAAGTATCAAGTTGGACTCAAGATTACTTTAAACTTTGGTGTTTATATTTTTCAGGAGCAGAGCCATCCATATTCCATAGTCTTAGAATTGTACGAGGTTGAACGACCGTATATTTTGCAAGTCCTTGCTCCACTCACATCCCCGAGAGGCTTGACCTCTAGACAAAACTTCATACATTATTTCGTGGTCACTTTTGGTGTTTGAAATCAACGATATCAACGGCTGTTCTTGTTTTGAAATGTTGTCAGGCTCGACGCAGACCACTTTTCTTTGATAAATAGCTTGACATCTCAGGACAAGATCAGCCTTCTTGCCGCCACATGGCTGGTTTTCTACTTTCAATATTTCTCTCAAATATTTCACTAAGCTTTTGAAAGTCTTCTATCTTCTGAATTGTGTCCATCAGGCAGCCTTCGCCACATTCTTCGACTTAAATATTTACTACAAAGAGCTCTTATAAGTTAAAAAAAATCAAGATTTTTACGCGCTCGCACTTGGTTTGTTTGTATACTACAACGATATGATACAGGGTTAACCTCGTTTTCACACTTGACAGTATCTGCAAACATTCGAACAGCGGTTATCAGCACAGAACGCGAAACTGGAGTATTATTAACCAGTCCAGGGGTATATCACAACCTCACGTATAGTGAAATCTGCAACTGTTAAATTTTTTACAGACTGATGCTATTTCTGCTGCTCTTCCATTATCCTCTTCTCCTAGCTTGTGTCGTGATCTCTTCTGATACTATTGTACCACTGTTAACCATAGTAACTGAAGGCTTGGGGTAGTTTACTATTGCACTTACCCTCTTTTGCAAGGAGCATCCATTTTCCCTCTCACAACCCAGTAGCTGTTTCCATCATCTGCATTGTCTACTCCTGTGATGGACTAAAAGTTGCAATATATTGTTTAAAAATTGGAAATTCTAAGTGTACACCACAGTATACAAAAAGCACAAAAAGATGAAGGAAAGCAATACAGCAAAAGCATTTAAAAAAAAAAGCATTTCATCGAGAGATTTAGTGGAGTGAGCCCACTACAAGGAAAATGGAAAATTAGGATTCCATCGAAAGTGCTTTTGAAGCCTTCTGAACAGAGCGAACTTCAGTGTTTTTTAATCTTCAGGGGATAGAAAGCCTACAAAATTTTAAAAATAATTTGAAATTTCAAATCAAACATCTCACACTTACAAGGACTTTAGACGACCTTATGTAAGTTGTGGAATTTTTATTTCTTTCGTTTCAAGACCGTACGCAGCAACACCGTATTTAGCCACTGCGGGTGCTTGCTTCAAAGCGACAAAACTCCGTCAAATTTCTAAAAAAAAAAAAGCCCTGGGTTCGCTTCCTTGTGTTTATAAAAACCCAGCCTTCCGCTTAACATGCGTATTTCGACAGGTTAGAAAAAGGAACACCGAACACAAATCAGAAGCGTCCACGCACAGCGCATCTCATTAAAATTAACGCACTGGTGACAAGAAGTAACGCAAGGCGTCCTGTCTAGCTGTCAAAAGTCCCTTTCCCTTTAAACACTACTGAAAACAGTACTTCAAACGTATTTTTAAATAAATCTGGGTATGTCTGGGTGAAAGTATCCCTTTTCTACCGGTCGAATTTGTCAGGTGAACATCAACAGTACCTCATCAAACTGTAGTTCCAATTCCACTTGGGCATTGAAACCAAACGTAGAAACGCAAACTAAAATTTTTCGATAACAACGACAGGGATCTTTACAGCAGCCTTGACACATTTGCTTTTACAGTACCTGCTGCCTTACTAAACATTCTGCCGTGAAATTAATGTAGGAACACTACGGCGACACATGCTAAAGATATATTATAGGAAGGGAGATCATCACATTCACTCCGGCTGAATCAGGATTTACACCCAATCCTACCTGTTGTCCGCTTCCAGAGCCATATTTTACTTCATGGGAATGGAGTCTAACATTGTGCCTTGGATTTACTAACTTTAAAACGCTTCCACATGTGACATATTTAAATTCTGGAAAAAATATCAAACAGTTTCATAATGAATGCTGAGTTAAAATGGTTTCAAACTGCTCTGTTTTTGAACTTATTTTGTCTACTTACTCACCTCTAGAATCTCCTTGTGAATGACTGCATAGAAAAAAAGCTATGCTCGTTAACAAATAAACGTATTTTACAATATTAGTAGCTCTGAGTATTTGAGAAAAGTTGCGGAAATTAGGTAACGTCGCAGCCATGTTGAAATTTGGAAGAAGCTCACCAAGCTTAGTAAACCTCGCTTTGGTTCACAAGACTCGTTTTCGTGTAGGAAATTCCTTGATCTAAGCGTGCGGGATATATACGTGAGGGGATTTTGGTCTGATGGAATTCCACCAATCAAAGTTGTCAGGAATTGTGTGAAACCCTATGATGGACTGATAATCATATTGTTAGTAAGCTAATACCGGTGAGGCTAAAGTGTTTTAATGAAACCTAAATTGAGAGCATTGCTGTTAAAGGTTACTTCCCACCTTCAGAGGCCGAAAAATTCGTTGTTTCTTTTATCGGACTAGATTGAAGTTGAACATTTTACCCAACGTTTACAAAAAGAAAGATTGTAAAGTCTCAAAAAGCGTCTGACTTATTTAGGAAACCGTATTTTCAAATTAAAGTTAATAAATCGGGAGGGTGTCATAGTCTCGTAAATGGCGAACCTCCCAGGTGAATATTCGCGGCAATTTCATGTTATTTGCATATTTTGTTTACATCACCCACTTGACAAAATTCACACGTGAAAGTACTCTCGTGGAAAGTCTTTTCTCGTGGATAAAAAACAGAAATCAAAATTAGAGAGGAGTCCCTGGGCAAAGAAAAAGAAAAAAAAAAACAAGCCCAAAGAGGAGAGAAATGACACCATTTTGTCAGAAAAAAAAACCAGTCCTGGCACTCCTCTCCACGCTGGGACGAAGTTTCCTTTCAATGGGTGGTTTGCACGTTATGTCATTGCCGCCATGTTGGTGGAGTAAACAATAGATATCTCATTAGCTCCATTTGTTAGTCCACCAGCATTTGTTCCTTTCACTATTGTTACCTGTGTCTCTAGAGATTGGTTGCAAACCACCTAAAAGCAAGTACCGGTCTTGATACAGAACATAGCCAAACGCCTCGAATTCGAATCCGTATGAAATCATAAATAATCCTACCCGAGGGAACTCATTTCAGCGATAAGGGTATAACTTAAGCTGTCTGTCGATTAGCTGTTTTGCTTTTCAGCAGTTTCTCCAGCTTTACCTTTTTTGCCGTGGGTTTTTTCTTTGCCAGTTTTGCCCATTACTCAACGTTCAACAGAGCGAGAAAAAAAAAACGTGACTGCTATCACAGGGTGCCCAGACAAGCTACGAGTCTGGTTGTTTATTCGAAATATAAAGGAATGTATGGGAGAATATTGAAGAGTCTTATTATCGTAAACTTATATCGAGAAATGTCCGAGTTAAAGCTCAAAATAAATGTAAACCTTCCTCACTTGCTGTGTATTGTCGTTTCCGCGACACTAAATGGCGAATTTGAGCGATTTGGTGGGTTTTGCGTCGACTGTTCGCCATTTAGTCTTGGTGCCGCGGAAACGATAATACACAGCAAGTGAGGTAGTTTTACATTTATTTTGAGCTTTAACTCAGACATTTCATGCTATAAGTCTACGATAATAAGATTCTTCAATATTCTCCCATACATTTCTTATATTTCGAATAAACAACCAGACTCGTCGCTTGTCTGGGTCTCCTGTGCTGCTATGCGACATGCACTTTTCCCGGGAAAATCTTGATACAATATCATTGACGCCTGGAGGTCCCGTCTTCCTATAGGTTCGCGGTTTCACGAGGCGAGATTATCTCTTGATTTTTACAAACCTTTAGGAGCTAAAATCGCGCATTCGATTTTGAGCGGAAAACATCCCCTTTGAGCGAATTTATAGGGTATGTAGATTTGACCGATTTTCGTGAAATTTTGCCTAAACATTCCAAGGATAATGACGAACTAAAGTGTAGATTTAAAGTGTAGATTTAAAGTGTATTTATTCTATCTCATTTATCACTTTCACGGGTTTATTACGAATCAACTTAACGGCCTGCTCCCAGTTGGCTTGTTAGCTCAATTGGTAGAGCGCTGCACTAGCATCGCAGAGGTCAGTGGTTCGAGTCCCGTACAGGCCTGATTTTTTTCAGGTCTGATTTTCGCTATTGCATAAATAGCGCTATCTACTGCGAGGATCGTGCATCATACGTATCTAATACCGCAGTTCAAAATATATGAACTTCATATATTTATTCTATCTCATTTATCACTTTCACGGGTTTATTACGAATCAACTTAACGGCCTGCTCCCAGTTGGCTTGTTAGCTCAATTGGTAGAGCGCTGCACTAGCATCGCAGAGGTCAGTGGTTCGAGTCCCGTACAGGCCTGATTTTTTTCAGGTCTGATTTTCGCTATTGCATAAATAGCGCTATCTACTGCGAGGATCGTGCATCATACGTATCTAATACCGCAGTTCAAAATATATGAACTTCATATATTTATTCTATCTCGAACTAAAGTGTGTCAGGCAATTTTGATTTTTGAAAAATTCTTCACGTTGTGTCCATCTACGCAACACGTTTCGCATATTTTACGCTGCTCTAACTTTAGTTGCCGATATCTATACAACCAATTGGAATATCGGTAAAGCCTGACAAATTTTTGTTGATTGGTGCAGCCATTTTGCTCGTGTGGCGAGATCCGATACCTGATAAGCTCAATAGAAGGACCCTCGGTTGTTTCACGCCTTACCGGCTCCTGATACTCCCTAAATGAAAAAAAAATTGCCTAAATTACATTTTTATCGCAGACTGCATGTATTAAGATTTATTTTGATGTATAGTTTGTTAGGGTTTTCTTCAACCTAGCACGCGTACGAATTATTGCCGAAGGACACCCGCAAAGCCGGTGGGAAGTAACCTTAATGTGTGCTTCATGTCCTCCCTAGCTAGAATAAAAGCATACATCTTCTCCTTTAATATGCATTTAGATACGAGCACATCTTTCTACCTTGAGAGCAATCATTAGAGTAAACCTGACTACAAACTGGAGTGGGCCTCAATACAAATTACTGAAATATTGGCTGTGCACATGTACAGGCCCCAGACTTTAGTTGCTAAAGAGATACACTTGGGAGTAAAATTAATGTCACTAATTCAAACTTAATACTTTCAAACATCCAACCCAATATTGGTATAAAACCTTATTTGAAATAATCTACTTTAAATTGAATTCCAGTTGACGGTATTTTTTCTATTTAACAGGCACTTGCAGTCTACATCAATTATTGAACCATCCTCAAACTAGATACTGTCCACTTATTAAATAAGGAAAAATATCTTTAATATCTCTTTTTCTTCATATTTTACATCTCAGTGTTACTACTTTGCCTGTATCTTCCTCTTTCTTTTTCATAACATTTACCAGTATTTACTTTTTCTTCTAAACTACAAATAATAAATTACAGCTTTCAAACTACCTGTATGTAGACACGAAGCTGTTAGTGGTGAGTAGTCTTCCCCTTCAAAAGCAGATTGGCATTGACAAATTATATTTTCAAACATATTGAAAAGAAAAATAAGATTTTTTCATGCGATAAAACTGTAGTTTGACAGTATCAAATTCAACACAAGAACCCTTCAAGCAAGAAAGAGGTTTATTAATTATTCCTGTAACAGTGTGTGTCATCTGGTTCGTCTCTCTCCTTTTTGTGTTCTTTTCCTTTCCTTCTCTTTCCTCTCATCTGCTTTTTGTTTTTGCTTCTCTTTTGCCTCTTTTATTTGTTGTTTTCTCTGTTCACTGTCTTCCTTCATCTTATCTCTCTTGTCTTTCTCTTTATCTGCTACAGATTGTGCATTCATATTTTTGACCATCCCTGTTAATTCAGAGAAATTACAAGGCACTGTTAACATATTGTTCTATAATGCAAATGTTTACTGACTCTTTAAAATCTTTAAAGATGTTCTTCATCAGTCATTCCCAACTAGCCCAGCTGGTGGGCTAGATCGGCCTTGATGTCTTCACAAAGTCAGGTGCACTCAGTAAATGATAAATTGCTACTTAAACATCCAGAAGTGATCAATATCCAACTTTGTTTTAAGTTATCAAACTGAATACAAAGGCCAGCAAAGACATAGAAGGAGTCCACAAATTTTGTTGATCTTCCTTTAGAGATGAATCCAACAAGCAAATTATCTATAAGTTGATAAGTACTGAACAGCTCCAGCCTGCAGTCCAAAAGCTTATCAACTGCACCAATTATCTATTACACTAAACAGCATGTCTGGGAAATTAGACAAACCAGTAACTTAATTTTGTCCATGGCAACCCAATTAAGTGCTAAAACAAAAGAACGTAATTCGCAAATTGATTATGGACACATTCAAAACTTTAAAGATTGGGGAGAGGTTTTTCTTATACCAACAAATAATGCAAAGGAGATTTTAGAAAAATTGAGTAAGGGTATGCACATGGCTGGGTAAAAATAAGCCCCCCCCCCCCACCACATGTTACAAAACACACTGCTGCCTCTGCACTAATCCACCAACGCAGCAACATAACTCTTAATATTCATTCATTCACTCTCAACATAAAAAAGTGCAATTTATGAGTGATTGAGAATCAGAGAGCTATTGATTCAAACCTGAATCCTTGTCAGCAGAAGAATGTGAAGCTTGTTCATCATCACTATCGGTAGTGGTAAAAGGTTAAAGATGTCTAATGAATAACATCCTAAGAATAACCATTTTGCATCATTTCATTTTACTATCACTTGCCTGGGACTCTTGTCCAAGCATTTTCACTGAAAAAAATTAGTTTCACTATAAATTTCCAGAACCAAATATCAGTTAACAACATGAACTATCCTTTATAAAATTCTAAAATGCACAATGAGAAAAATTAACATTGTGAAAAAGTTTCAAATGGTATTACAAAATATGAGATACAGGAAAGCTAGCAGCAAATAAAAATATCAGAAAGGACTAGAATGACATAGAACATAACTACCAGTAACTAAAATGTTTAAGATTTCATAGCATAATTATATCATAACCTTCTACATTAAAGACTCTGTGCAAGCTTGAATAACTGGAAAAATTTTTACTAAACATCCAGTCATATTTCCTGACAGCATGATTTTGATGCCCTCCCTCGGCACCATATTCCCTGATACAGTCAAACTTCGATTATCTGGACTCATTGGGACTAGATGAAAAAGTCCGGTTAATCGACAGTCTGTATAATCAAGAATATGAATATTAATGAGGAACAAATACTGATTAAATTAAGAAAGCAACATTTATTCCTGAAACAAAACATTTATGAATTGTTTTAAAAAAGATATGGTCTACATCTCGACTGTCCTAGGTGAATACCACTACACATGTGAACTAACAATTAAAATTGAAGAACAATGTTTTTACATTGGCCTAAAATGTTGAAGGAAGTGAATTTGTCTTAAAGAAGAACATCACCTTTACTTCACTTTTCAGTGCTGTAGTTTTAAAAATAATATGGCTATTGACCAAAATCGAAATATGGAGTGCAATTTGAATTGCCATTGTTCTGGACTGACTAGCCTCTCACACACGTGATAATCCTTTTGTGTTTCCACATCAAGACGAGGCTAGTAAGTCCAAAACAATGGTAATTCAAATTGGACGCCATATTTTGATTCGGTCAATGGATCTTGATTATGACTAATAAATATTCATGAAAAAATTCGGACCAGAGAAAAAGTCTGGATAATTGAGAAATCCGGATAGTCAAGGTTCGACTGTATAAGTGAAATTCAATCATATATTTACAATCACAAACATAATCACGACTACATCTCGCACATATTAAAACAGAAACAAAAAGGATATCAGTAGTCTTCATCTGACTCGTGTGCATACTGTGCAAGCAAGAGCTTCTTAACTTCCCTGTCAGCACTACCCTGAGTGCATTTTGTTGAAGACACTGTTAAAGCTTGTTTCTCCATTATTTCTGCCAGCCTGTTCTGTTTTTCTGTTGCTTTCTGTTCTGTTTGTAGAGGAAGGGTAAATAAGATTTCATATCTAAACCTCACACACCTCATTCACAAACATGTAACTCCTTCAAGATACAAAAAATTGAATGGGAGTTTTGTAAGATCATCAGAATTAAATTACTGCATGTCCACTACAACTTCAAGAATGTTCTGCAACTCTCCAGGCAGATTGCTTGTTCAAAACAATCAAAGAGTGACAAAGGAAGTGAATGACTACCAGAAATCCCTCAGTTATGTCATATTCACTCCACTGCATTTTGTGCTCATACTAAATGGCTGGCGTGCTCAAACATGGGATGAGTCACTCTAAGTAAAGCTGGATGGCTCATGTACATGTAGCAACAATGATGAGCAGCTTATGATGATTTTGTAGGACAATTATTTCAAAGAAATGAACGATTTGTCTTCACTTTGCCTTTATCAAGTAGGTCAGTTACTTAAAAGAAAATTTTTATCCCTTCTATTTCGTATTTATAAGCTTATGATGATTTTGTAGGACAGGTATTTCAGAGAAAAAATCGATTTGTCTTCACTTTGCCTTTGATTAAGTCTCTTTTGTTCACGGATGATCTTTCAAATCTAAAAAAAAAAAAACCTTTTTCCTTCAGGAACAGTCATTTTATGTTGATTATTTTCAAACACATTTAAAAGTTACCCAGCTTGTTGGCCAAAAGAATTGGTTACATGTTACAAGTAAGTACCTTTTTCGAGTTCCTTTTCCTGTAAAACTTCTGCTCTTGATGTTCTCCATCTCTCAATGACTTCATTGCAAAGGTCGTTCAGAGGATATTGCTGCAATTTAAAAATTTATGTTGTCACAAGGCTGGAAATCTATTCAATAATCATATGAATTTAGAAAAATAACGGAAATATCTCTCCAAACCCAAGAACGGAGGCTACAAAATCTCCTTCGATAAACACTAACACGGTTGAGCTAAATATTAAAGCTTGAGGTCCCCCATGCACGTGCCGACGCACCTCGCAGAGTACATCTTACCGTCATTCCTTCCAAAATACCCTTGAGTGCTTCTTTGCGATCTTCGTCTGTATCCTCAGAATCCAATACTCCTGTGACATAGCTTCCAAATACGTCTTCATCTAGACCTAACTGTTTCATACGAGAGCTTAGCCACTCTTCAAACATTTCTTCTTGTGAGACACTGTCCGCCATCTTAAAACCTTGACGCTAATTCCGCTGCCCACTTGGAGCGCATGTGGACGTTCCCGAAACTCAAAAGGGCGACACGCTTGCCTGGAAAGTGTCCAGCTAAAATAATTCCAGCATCAAAGTCAGTAGTCTGTGGAAAGTCCGATCCAAAGGAAACACTTCATTTAAATTCTCTTTTGCACTTTTGACACGTCAGCTTTAGAAACTCTTAACAGTAGCCAATTTACATTGTAAACCAAATAATCTCACTAAGACTAAATTTGAATATATCAACAAAATTGAAATGGTGAATTGGCCACCGTTACGATTACGGTGGCCAATTTACCATTTCAACTTTATTGATATATTCAAATTATTTCGTTACCCCTACCAACGCAGCCCCAAACAGTTTCTTTAGAAACTCTCAGCCTTTATTCAATAAGACTTACCTAACTGGGTGCTTGCTATTAGCCATTACCAGCA